GGGTTACACTATCGCATCGAACTAGTGGCGGAGCGAAAATTACATACAAGGGATTTATACATTAAAAAAATCCACTAGAATGACACGCCTAGTATTTGAACCTATAATCAATATTTTATATATAACCAAAACAATCCCTTATTTATTTCTTGGAAGAAAATTCCAAGGGGTTGCTTTTGGGATCATACGTTAAACATTCTTGCTTCTACCACATGCTTTCCAAGGCATAAAGTTTGAATTGACACGACATTTGAAATAAAGGAAATTTTTCGAAATTTGTGATCTACAACATGCAATAAATATTTATGTGGCTATCGTTTTCAAAATTTAATAAATGATAATTCTTTTTGAAACATAATAAAAATAAAATATTTTCACATTAGTTGAAATGGAAGAAGTACACTATCAAATCGATTTCCTAAGAAAATATTTAAATAATCCAAGAAATTGTCACTATATCAATTGTGGACAAACTTTATTTTCGTTATACTTATCGTTACATCTATTAACAAGATACATTTTCAATTACAACCCTCTGTCCTAATTTATGTGAAGGTGTACGATTTGACATTAAATTTAAGAAATAAATAAAGTCTTTTATAACTTCGGGTCTAAATAAAATATAGGGGTTATTTGGTACGCAAAATAAGGTGGGATAAGGTGTGTAATTAAATTTATACTCCCTCCGTTTCAATTTATGTGAACACATTTGATTGGGCACGGAATTTAAGAAAAGAAAGAAGACTTTTGAATTTGTGATGTAAAATGAGGCACATATATTTTGTGTGGCTATAAATCATTGCATAAAAATAAATTATTTACAAATATGGAAAGAGGTCATTTTTTGGCACGGACTAGAAAGAAAATATGTTCATATAAGGAATAATACATAATTTACGAGTCCGAAACTTTTTTGATGATTTTTTGGACAAAAAGCACATTTTAATGTTAAAAAAAAAAAGTTACACAAATAGGCACTTCGCAGTACTATACCGCGAATTGACTTAACGGAAATTTAGCCGTTAAGCTAATTCGCATTACAGTACTGCGAATTAATAAATTTTTTTTTTTTTTTTTGCAATTCGCAGTTCTATACCGCGAATTGCTTAAAGTGGGCCAACTCTATTTTCAAAAGGCAATTCGCAGGCCTTTTGAAAATATAACCCTTCTTCTTCCTTGGACCGACAAAAACGATCCCCCACCCTATTAAAATATTCCTCTGCTCCAAATCTGGTCCCCCACCCCCCGTGAATTTTAAAAAAAAATTTCGGCCCCACCCGTCATCTAAAGAGCAAGGAGTGTAGGTCCCAGGCACAAGACAAGCTTTGGATTCCTTCTTTTGAGTGTAAAAATTCCATTTCAATCAATTTCAAAAAACTTAAATCGAGGTATTTCGATATTATTTATGTCGAAACTCGTATAGTACATGCATATTTGTATTGTTTAATGTGTTTACATGTTAATTTGTGTTATGTTTGTGTTTAAATTTGTATCTTATTTATACTCGACTTGATTTATTAGTTTTGGTAAACAAAAATTGTTAAAAGTTGATAAATTATTTGTATTTTAAATGTTATGTTTTTATTTGGTTAAATAAAAAATTAATATTTTTTTTTGTTTGTTGTTCATATTTGTATTTTATGTTAGTTGTTTTTATATGTAATAGTGACCTTTTAGCGTAGTAAAATAAATAGCCTTTTAGCGTAGTAAAATATAGAGCCTTTTAGTGTAGTAAAATAGAGAGCCTTTTAGTGTAGTAAAATATATAGCCTTTTAGCGTAGTAGAGCCTTTTAGATTACACTTTACAAAATTACTTATTTAATTTATAATGATAAACTTACAAGTAACAAATTAATATATGTTGTAAATTTAACTTCAATATCGAGCCTGGAACTCATACATAATTATTCAGTCCAATTCAATATTATTTAATTTAATTCCTTAAGCCAACAAAATTCTAAAAATGTTGAAATTGACACGCATAATAATTAAGGATAACTCGGTGCTACCGAGCCTAAAAAATCAAGTCTGGAACCCATACATAATTATTCAGTCCAATACTAAACATAATTAATTATTTAATTTATTAAGCTAACAAAATTGTAAAAATATTGAAATTGACACACATAATAATTAAGGATAACTCGGTGCTACCGGGCCTCAAAAATCAAGCCATAATTATCAAATTATTAAGTTCAATATTAAACATAATTAATTATTTAATTTATTAAGCTAACAAAACTGTAAAAATATTGAAATTGACACACATAATAATTAAGGATAACTCGGTGCTACCGGGCCTAAAAAATCGAGCCTGGAACCCATACATAATTATTCAGTCCAATACTAAACATAATTAATTATTTAATTTATTAAGCTAACAAATTGGAAAAATATTGAAATTGACACACATAATAATTAAGGATAACTCGGTGCTACCGGGCCTAAAAAATCGAGCCTGGAACCCATACATAATTATTCAGTCCAATATTAAATATAATTAATTATTTAATTTATTAAACTAACACACACAATTAATTTTGTTTAAATTATAGTAGACGACATGGCTTTTCCGTCGCCTGCGCATCCTGGACCTGCCGAGGATCAGTTGTTAGTGTTGCAGGGCGACCATAGGGCCTCCTACGTATGGGAGGGACAGCTATTGGAGCAGGCTCTCCACCCCAGGAGACCTGATGATTTGTGGGAGTTCATGGCGGAGCATCCTTTCCATGCCCGCGTAGTCGCACGCTTACAGGCTACGGGCTTCTATACTATTTCTTAGCTTGGACGGATGCAGCTCGATTGGTCTCTTATCACGACGTTGGTAGAGCGGTGGCGACCGGAGACGCACAGTTTTCACTTGCCCCTACTGGAGAGGCCACCATCACGCTGCAGGATCTTCAGGTTTTGTACGGGATGCGTGTAGATGGACGGGCTGTGACACTGCCCCATTACATTAGATCCTTGACGCGCGCCCAGTGTTTGGATATGATGGGGCAGCTTGCTGGTTTTAGACCAGAGGGTGGCGCTGGGGGCAGTCGCGTTCTTTTGTCAGCCATTAGAGATCATATGGCTTTTTTGCACCCTGACGTTACCGGGGAGACGGAGGATCTCCACATTGAGAGATACACGCGGTTGGCGCTGCTCCTGCTTTTCGGGTGTGTCTTGTTCACAAACACTTCGGGGAGTACTGTGAGTCTTCGCTTTCTCCATCATCTTCAGCGGCTGGATGATTTACCTCAGTACAGCTGGGGTGCTGCTGTTCTGGCATACCCGTATAGGAGCATGTGCCGGGCGAGCATGGGTCCAGCGGTGGACATATGTGGTTTTCTGCCCCTCCTACAGGTGACAACATTTTCGAATACTCTGTTCATTATTCTGAATTCTATATGGTCGAAATGACTCATAAATTTTACATCAACCTTTTATCTTAGGTTTGGGCCTGGCAACGGATCATGCCGTTGCAGCCACTCTACCACCACTTGCGCCCGGTCAGGCTTATCCGTTTCTCCCTCTAGCTTTTAGGTGGATTCTCCGGCGTGGGAACTACCGAGGGAGCGATGCTCACCATAATCTCCCCCTTGTCAGGGATGTGTTAGATATGCTGGTGGACGGACAGGTAAATATGTACCTACACTTGCGAATTAGTAATTGAGTTGTGTTGCGCATACTTACTTTTATGTTATTATTTGGTAGTTCATCTGGACGCCATACAGCGACGAGTTGCTAGCTTAGCTGCCTGATATTTGCCCAGCCGACAGACTGCTTTGGAGCACCTCCGTCCCGATGATCTTCTTCGATCAGGTTGAGTATCATGCCACAGAGCGTGTGCTTTGCCAGTTTCACCGTCCCCAGCCTATACCGGGGGAGCCTGGATGGGAGGCTACACACTATCAGCAGGATGATCGTGCCAGGGTGAACGTTACATATATGGCATGGCTAGAGCAGCAGGTCCATACTTGGGAGGAGCGAGGTCACCGTATTCCTCCAGCACCTACATTTACCCAGGAGGCCACCATTCATCTGTATGCGTCATGGTACCGCCGTCACACCCGACGGATGATCGGGAACCCCATTTATGTGCTTGGCGATCGCTACAGATCATACGCCGGGAGGCACGAGGCACTGGTATGTTTTTGTGGCTTATTAATATTTTATAATTGTGATATAACGTTATTTAATTAATATTTTAAATGTTTCACAGGCTATTGGGATTCATAGCCTCTATCAGTTGGGCCAGGAGATGCAGCAGCATGATGACAATCCTACACTCGTTGACTATGGACAGCGGGTGGAACAGCTGGCTCGTCGGACCCTGCTTCAGGCGAGAGATGCCGCGAGGTTGGACCACGAGGCTCAGTATGCGGTGCCAGAGGACTACCATCGGGGTAGGGGTGTCCCACGAGGCAGGGGTAAGGCACGAGAGAGGGGTGCCCCACGAGGCAGGGGTGCGCCACGGGGTCGCGGGGGTCGCAAGGGATGGCGAGGAGGTGGTCCCCAGCAAGGGGGCTATGAGGCACTTCTTGGCCCACCTGTTGAGGGACATGATGGGGATTTTGGAGATGAGGCTCTTGGAGATGATCAAATATTCTTTTTAGGTTTGCTAAGATTACTACTTGTGTTGTAGGTTGCTGACGGCCCGACGGCCTATTCTTCCGATCCTGCCAGCTGTGGTGTCGATGTTGCTGCACATCCTCACATAAAGAGGCGGCTTGATGACGATGATCCAGATAGTGTACCCGGGCGACAGGGGATGCGACTTAGGCCGGCAGCAGCACTGAAGCACACAGGCTGCGGGACTCACTGATTTACATGTATTTTTACTTTGTGTAAATAGTACGTTATGTAATTAATGGTAACAATTATCTTTTAAAAATAATTTTATTTTAATTGCGTTTGAACATCAATTTTACTTAAACAGTACAACACTAACACAAACCTTGCAAACCTAAAACGTAGTACTATACTGCGAATTAAGTATTAAATTTTTAACGACAAGACAACTCCATAAAACGTAGAACTATATTAATTATTAAATTTATCTGCAAGAAACCAGCTTTTTTCACATAATTTACATCTTTTTCAGAATGACAAGACAACTCAATAAAACGCAGTACTATACTGCGAATTCATGATTAAATTTTTCTGCAAGAAACCAGCTTTTTTCACATAATTTACATCTTTTTCAGAACGACAAGACAACTCAATAACACGCAGTACTATACTACGAATTAATTATTAACTTTTTCTGCAAGACAACAGCTTTTTTCACATGATTTTCATCTTTTTCAGAACGACAAGACAACTCAATAACGCGCAGTACTATACTGCGAATTAATTATTAACTTTTTCAGAATGACAAGACAACTCCATAAAATGCAGTACTATACTGCGAATTAATTATTAAATTTTTCTGCAAGACAGCAGCTTTTTCACATGGTTTCATCTTTTCGGAACGACAAGACAACTCCATAAAACGCAGTACTATACTGCGAATTAATTATTAATTTTTTCTGCAAGACAACAGCTTTTTTCACATGGTTTTCATCTTTTTCAGAACGACAAGACAACTCCATAAAACGCAGTACTATACTGCGAATTAATTATTAAATTTTTTTGCAAGACAACAGCTTTTTTCACATGGTTTTCATCTTTTTCAGAATGACAAGACAATTCCATAAAACGCAGTACTATACTGCGAATTAATTATTAAATTTTTCTGCAAGACAGCAGCTTTTTTCACATGGTTTTCATCTTTTTCAGAACGACAAGACAACTCCATAAAATGCAGTACTATACTGCGAATTAATTATTTTGTCTCGCCTATAAATAACGGGCTCATTGTAGTTATTTTGTATACTCAAAATTTACTTAAAGCAGATATTTCATCAAAAGTAAGGTTTTTTTTACTAAAAGCAAATATTTCATTATATGGCTCAACCTCTTTGTCCACCACAGTGCTACTGTGGAAAATTATGCATGATGCAAAGTTGTTGGGACGGTGGTGAAGCTGGACGCCGCTACTGGCACTGTATGAACCAGTTTTACAAGGTTCCCGGCGAACCTATTTGTGAGTTTGAGGAATGGGTTGATGAACCATGTTATCAGGAATACTACAAAGAAAAACTGCAGTTTCTTCATAATATGTGTTTACGCCAACAGAAAACACAAAGCGAAAGCGATAGAATTATTGCAGAAATGAGGGCGAACTGAAGGAGGTGGGAGAAGAAAAATGGAAAGTACAATGGAATTGTGAAGCACAAAATGAACGTAAAAAAATATAAACGGGAACTTGCGGAGGTGAACGCGAAACTGAAAGAGGTAGAAGAAGAAAAAGAACAACTGGAAGAACGATTTAAGTGGTTGGAGCGGAGAGTAAATGGCAACCGGGACTAAACATTGGCATGTATGTGTTTAGTGTACTTCTCATATTTCATGTATTTTTATTATGTTTGCCTGCTACGTTTGTGTTTGTGCTGTAGTAATGTTTTCCTTGTTTGTTGTACTAAATTTTATTTTAATTGAAGTGGAAGTTAAGTTTAAGTGCTTGTGTTGTTATATGAAACTATCAAACCACGCTTTACATATTACATTTTCCTGCAATTAAACAGATTTTTCTTCACTCATTCCAGATTGTCGAACATAATTTTATTTGATATATATTGCAACATACACAAGTACAAACACGTATTACAAAAAAGAATACCAAAATAAAAGACTAGGGGTATCCTTGATAGTTGGGTACATTCGATGAACTTGCACCAGGAGCCGGATTACCACCGCCACGCACACCACCTGAAGGACATTTACGACGGTCGTGTCCTGTTTGCGAGCATATGCCACATTTACGCGCATAAACGGTGTCACCAACATCCATTTGGTTCCGTATACGCGTTCTCTTTTGCACTTGCAGCTTGCGCAAATAGTCCTTGTTACATACCATCTTAAAAGGCTCCGACGGCCAATAATACTCAGCACCTAATGGCTGCAACTTCCCGCTATACGTGTCTACGTATGCAGCAACACTGTATTGCCTATCAACATAGTTTGTTGCCCCATATCCAACTTGTTGAAAGCACTTCAACGCATGTGCGCACGACATGTGGTAGATGGTCCATTTCCCACATGAACATAACCTTCTATTTTCATTCACCGTCTGTAGATTATTCCCACGGTGTCCGCGGATAGCGGTCTTAACTTCAAAAACACCCCGTTCATGATCGTACTGAAGAAATGAATGCCACTGTGCTCGCCTCCTGGACCTTTCAAATCTTCTCATGGGTATTGGCATAAATTCAACACCCCTGTCCATCAATGCCGATGCAGCTGCATGCCTTGCAACAAACCTCTCCGGACCATGGAAGTGACAGGCAATCCACGAGCAGACTTCAACAAGCCGTTGAATGACTCCGACACGTTTGTAGTGAGGGCTCCCCATCGTCTGCCGCCATCAGCATGCAATGTCCACATGTGAAGCTCATGTCGCATCAACCAAGTATAGGCTCGTGGATCTATCTGCCGGATCGCTTCCATGCGCCTCGTGAATTTGCACTGCTGGTGCTCAGTTGCAGCCATCCACATTAAGTCATGCAAGGCCTTGTCAGGAAATTTCTTCTAGAAATTGGCCTTCAGGTGCCTCACACAGTAATGGTGGTATGCATATGGTTCATGCCATTCAGGCAAGTGACGTACAGAACTTAAAATACCACCATGCCGATCAGATATTAGACAAATACCTGAACGCTGTTTGACAACGTGCTGCTTCAAGTGGTTCAAAAAAAGCGTCCACGCCTCTTCGCTTTCATTGGCACATATGGCAAAAGCTAGTGAAAATATTTGTCCGTTGGCATCAACTGCAACTGCAATCAAAAGCTTAATATCATACTTTCCATAGACATGAGTACCGTCTATGGAAATTACAGGACGACAATGCACAAAACCATCAATTGCTGCTTTAAATGTCCAGAACACATAGTTGAAAATATATTCGGGTCTGTCCGGACTCCGCTCACGCCTCCATTCAACAACAGTGCCGGGGTTAAAATATTGCAGTGCGGCCATGTACCTGGGCAGATTTGAAAAAGACTTATCCCAGTCGCCATAAATAAGTTCAAAGGCACGTTTGCGACCGAGATATGCCTTTCTTTTGGTTATAGTACAACCATACTCCTGGTGGACGACTGTAATACACTCTTTAATCTTGAACCTAATGGACACTTCCAAAAATGGAATCAAGACAAGGGAAATCAAGTCCACATCCAAGTTGAAGTGATTCTCATTGAATGTGTCCATTTCACATCTGTGCTCGCTAATAAATTTACCCACTTTCCACAAACCTGATTTCTTCTTGGTGGCACGCAACATCCAGTGACAACCCATAAACCACCTACGGCATACAGCCTTGTATTTCTCCGTAGTTGACTCACTTACCATCATCTCACGGCACTCTCTTATACTGTAGATTTTTACAGCCCTAATTAGGCGAGCTTTATCGGGGAAATACATGCCCTTTGTCAGA